CGCACTATACATCTATGGCGAAGATTAAGTTAGTGTCACTAGATGACTGACTTCAAATGTCTGTCAACATGTTGCTTGATGTTTCCCTCATCATGTACCCTTTCACAACACCAGCCCACGCCATTCCTGTGAACGTCACCCCAAGATGTTCAATGACAGCTTAGCAGGTTCATTCAGGGTGAGCACAGATTGGGAAGCTCCCTTTTCTCGAGATATCGACCCGAACCTAGGAACCTGGGTAAATGGATCCAAATTTTGAAGAAAAAAATTGTGGCTATGGATACCCTCTTCAATAATGTAATGAAATTTACAAGTCACAACTGCTTTTAGCACAAAAGCGATGAAAATGCGTTTTTGTTGCTTGCTCCGCAAGACCGTCACCATTTGGCAGCAATTTACACATATGGTATGTGTATAATGTGAAGATTACATGGAAAACGTAGGTAAGGCAAATGCACGTATCGGAAATATACGAGCGAAAATAATCGTACCCAAATGCTCGTTGTCACAAATGTTTGTAGCGTAGCCGTTCGTCAACGCTAGTGTACGCAGGCATAGTGCAGATGCTCTTATCCCAGATGTTAGCAATCGCGAACATTCGTGAAAACATATGCACGCATCCTAATGGTTCGTACGCGCCTATCCGTCCGTAAAGCAGATGTGAACTCTCAGGATGCATGAAAACATTTGTGCAGCATGTGCTCTTTGCTCGCAATGTCGGTCAACAAACGAATGGAGTGAATGCAAGTCATAAAAAGATTGGGCGAGCTAGGTTGTGTACCTGGTATTATAACCGTGACTAGCTACATAGATAGCGATGTAACGGTCATTGACTACCCACAGAATTACATGGGGTCATTTGACTTAAGAGTGCGTACAGGTTTGCTCGGCTTGCCTAGGCTTTGGTAACGGCGAAATTTGAGCAAATACATTGACAGCGACTGTCTGTCTGTCTGCCTGTCCGTCTGTCGGTCTGTCTGCTGTGTAAGCAGGCACATCTTTAGTCCCGACACATATCAGACGGCTGCACAGATTGCCAAGAAATTTTCACAAATGACGAATTCAATCTTTGGGAAGATCCACGAGATGTATTCGTGTGGTCCGAATCTGGCGTCAATGCACTCTCAGCTTTGCCGGCTAATATGTTCCATATTCCGAACCGCACCACCTGACATGAAATTCCTCTCTCATGTCATTTTTCCTCTAAGTGTGCTAAGCTTAGCCATACGAACAATTTCGTCTGCGATGATCCGCGATGCGAACATTAGCACCGATGAACGAAAGCGGAATAAAATGTGTATTTCTTGCACGAACCTTTACGAAAAGGAGTGGAAGTTCGGAGTGCTTGCACTGCGTTGAGAGATGTAGGTGTATTCGACATCCGGCCAGAGGCGTCATCTCGCATTCGAACAATGACACCGGCATGGCAGGCTCACACCTGGGGTGGGCTAAAAAAGATTCAATGTACCGTCCATGGGCCTTGAACAGAAAGCACCAACACCTACGCACTGCCCATGATTAATCCCCTGCTATCTTGCAAGGCTGGCGACAATTCAATCGATTTCAACGTTTGCCTCCAGCTGCGGATCGGCTTCAGTTCAAGGGCGGCGACGGTGGGCAGCTGCTGACCGCGTGCGCCGCGCGCGCCGAGCCGCGCAGTCGTCAGCTGGCGCGGCGCGGAGCGAGGCCCGGGCGCGGAGCGAGGCCCGGGCGCGGAGCGAGGCCCGGCGCGGAGCGAGGCCCGGCGCGGAGCGAGGCCCGGCGCGGAGCGAGGCCCGGGCGCGGAGCGAGGCCCGGGCGCGGAGCGGGGCCCGGCGCGGAGCGAGGCCCGGGCGCGGAACGAGGCCCGGACGCGGAGCGAGGCCCGGCGCGCCGTCCGCCGGCCTTGGCGACGTGCCCGTCGGCTGGAGCAGATCGACCGGCCAGTTCAGTGTTATGCCGACCGGTCGCAGGTCGGCCTTAGCGATGGATCGATCATGCCGCGGTGCCCTCGACTGCTGTCAAGGGGACGGGGTCGCGGCGCGCCGCCCGCCAAAGCAACGGGCCGCTGATGAGGACGATGCATCGCGCTCCACGCAACAACGGAAGGCCGGTCCCGACGTTGTACGCTGGGCAGCTTCGATGTCGGGTCATGTGTGTTATGCGTTAAGTTGCGAATTTCGCGGGTGTCTATCAGAGAGCTTTAAAAGGGACGGCAGGTCAGGTTCGCAGTGGCTGTGCTTCGCTGTCCACACACGAGTAAATGCATTACTGTTTTCCGAACCCGAGAGACTGGAGTGCATCATCCGGGAGAAAGACGCATTCGAGAAATTATGCTTTGTTTGGCCTGGCGTCTTCCGCAGGGCAGGATCGATGTTTTTGTGTGTTGAAAATGCCTCCCCGCAGACTGCCTTCAGCCAGAGCGCAACAAACGTGAAAGCAAGGCTGAGAATGCGCCTCTGCATCCTGCCCCTCCTTTTACGGCAGGTGCTTCCTGGGCCCGCCGCGGAGCAGTACTGCCAAGCCAAAGGCAAACACGGGAAGTAGCGCTGGAAAACGGCGCGAAGGCCAGGGCAGCAGATAACAGCTGGACCACATCACAGCAACTGCATGCCATCTTCCGTCACTCGGACATGGGCCTCATCATTATCGCGTCTCTGTCAGCTCATCCGCGAATGCCGCCGGCTGCGACGGACAGCCTGCCATGAAAGTCCGTCATGACGGCCAGCGTCGCTACCATCAGACCGTGGCGACACAGACTGGTGACCGGTATGTTAGCAACGGTGACCGAGTCGGGCCGCGGTCAGCGCGACAAATGACGACGCAACGGCGTAGCCAGGATTTTGTTAGGGGTGGTGAGGGGTGGAGTTCATTGAATATGCATCACGCCGGTTTTCAGCTTGCTGTCGGGAACCGTCTAAGGTGAAAAATGAAAATCATGACTTGAAATGCGCCCGGATGGCCGGTCGAATATCCTTTGCTCGGGTGAGGTTTAATTTAACCCCCTGAGATCTCAGAAACTGAGAGAGCTAGGGACACCAAAACCACAAAATGTGTTGGTCTGTATGTGAGCTCACGTACGTTAAATTCTAAGATATCAAGGTTATAACCTTTGGGTCATTTAAGGTCAAACAAAGCCAAACTCAAGGCAAGTATCATAAGTGCCTTCTGAACCTAGATACCGAGCAAAAGTTCACGTGTACTCATTTAAGGCCAGTGACTTTATTAAGCCTTTCGCAGGACATGGTCAACAAAATCATGCAAGACTGCTCTGATTTTACATTTGATTAAACATTAAAGATTACGCCCGCCAGGAAGGTCCTAAAAACAACATGTTGCCCAGATCATTTCAGGTCAGTGACATAGTCTGGCCTTTAACAGGTCTATGTAAGATGCATAGTGCGGTTCCTGACATTCGTAACTTCGAAATGAACACTACAAACTAGCTCATACAGTTAGCTGTAGAGTAATAAAGCAGGTTGGTTTTGACCTGTCTGACCTTCATGTTCGACGTCAGCAGAATCTGTCCACTGTTTACACCCACGTCAATGGAATTTGTCCATTCAATGGTTGTGTTGCCTCAGAAACTATCTCAGAGATTCATGGCTTTGTCCAGCACTTCGTTGTTCCATCAGATTGAACGATTCCCTAGAAATTGTCTTCGCTGAATTCGTGGCCTGATTTTGACTAGCCGTAGGTTGGCGACCTTGCAAGGTACATCTAGATTCTTAAAACCAAACGATCCACTATCCAGCTGTCTACAGTTATGCAAAATTTGCAGAAATAATTACGGAAAAAACTTTGAAGGATCAAAGTTACCGCACAAGAGCGTGTGTGAAAGGGAATGTTCCAGGTTTTAAGATATTGAAGCAAGCATAAGATATGACGAAATAAGCTCACTTATGACTATTGATGTACTTTCAAATGTAAAACACTGCTCTTAACAAAACAGCTTTTCTTTGTAGTAAATATTCAAGTAAATACGCTTCCAATGCATCATTGTTTGGTTACGTCATCGTACCTTACATAACTGCACCAAATGATTTTCAAGCTGGTTATTTCAGCTCAAAACCCCATACCATTGTGCGGTACTCTCTTTAAGGTGAGGAGCTGTACCCTCAGATGCCTCCCTTGCCTGCACCCCTACGACGACCGTGACGACCGTCCATGAACCCCGCCGCTTGTGAAACCCAGCGCGCCACCATCGTCACGTGACGGCCAATGTGCTGCCGGCGCAGACAGAGGTCATCCGCACTATCGGCGACGGTGCGACAGTAGCGCTGGTTCAATCCCAATTGGTTTGTGCTTAGAAACCACATTGGGGCAACATTATGGAAACTGCGTCTCCTCGCCGTAAAAGCGTACGGGAATTACGTGAGCAACAGCGTATTGGCAGTGCTGAGAGAAACCACCGTCGGTCCAGGTGTTTATCTAGCATCAATACTCCAAAGCGTTGGCTGAATAGTAAATCGGCCTTTTCTTCTCTACCGTAAAAAAACGAACTGCAAGAATTGATCAGCACCTAACAGGTGAAAACAGAGACCGACCAGTCCTAATAAAATCATGCAAAACGAACCACCCCGACTTGGTCCAATGTGAACAGAAAGATAGGACAGCGTTGTCGCCTATTGCATGCATTGACATTCTTCAGGATTCTCAAGCTCTGGAATGCCCTAATTAGCGGCCAAAATGTCTCTTCCGCAGGGTCTGCGAAGTACGGTTAAGGTTCACGCATCCCATTTTTGTAAAAGGTTGTTTTTTAAATAGATTGCTATATAACCTACTTAAAAATCTACAAAAAGAGGCTGCGTAATAGTCTATTTTAAGATAGGTTGGTTTGGTAGAATGGGCTGATGACGAAAGCAGAGACACGGGCAAAAAGCACGACCCGTGTGTGCACGAGGAGAAAATCGTCTTTGACTTGTGCCCATGTTCTTGGCACGTCTAGACATCTTTTGGACGTGAAACATCTACCAGCGTCGCCAACAGCAAGGGCGTCATACACAATATGTGACACAGGCTGATACATCTATAATGTATTGTAATGCATCGATACATAATGGACAACAGAGTTACTACGATAAAATGGTCGTAAGACAGTCAGCACCACCAGTACACTACAAAGAACTACTGCAGATAAACTGTGCCATCTAGTCCACATATTTTCAAAATATTGGAGGCACCACACCTTAGCATAAGCCCAGAAACGAAAGCACGGTTAAGGCTTGAGGAACAAGCAAACTAGTGACGCATCAGTTGTCTCTATCAAATATGCATTCAAATTTAGCTTGGCGGGCATCTGAGATGCGCAACGAAAAAACGGGTGGTTTCAGGAAATGATAACTGAGCGCTTTAAAATTGAATGGACATTTCTTCTTACTTTCATAACCATAGGGTTAAACACAACCACACGAAATGATGCGGAGGAAACCTCGGCAAACTCCTTGAATGCGTTGTCCGATAGATCACCAGCAACTAACAGAAACCGTACCACTATCTCTACCTAACGCAGCACGAAATAGACACAAATACCATCCAGCACCGTCACCAAGAAACAGTTCTAACCCGCTGCGCTACGCCCGGCTGGCTTCCTGAAAACAGCTGGACAGAGGAGCAGCTGCCGACGCCATGGCGACGATGAGCCGGCGGCGGCGCCAGTCCACAGGCAGACGACCCGCTCTGCGGCGGCGCTGCGCGGAGCCGATCCGGGCGCCACTGACGCTGCGCACGCCGCGCCCGGTCCGGCGGGCGGCCGCGCCGCCAGCGCCGCTGGCCGCTGCACTAGGCGATGACGAACATGTCCGGGGTGCTGGCGCACGCCATCTGAGCCCGCTCCACGGTGCCCGGGGCGTCTGTGGGCCCAGAGAGGCGCAGCAGGTCAGACGACACGGGACGCCGCTGCACCCCACACGCAGAGCAGCTGAGCGGGTGTGGAGGACACGGTGTGGAAAGCCGAGCGGCAGACACATCTTTCACTGAAATTTGCGTAATTTTAGCAGTTTCTGGGGGAGAGATGTTGGTTCGGAGTTTTGCCACAACTAGCTTTTTCTCGGCGTTCTCCGCCCGTGCAGCTGAGTCCAAACTTGACGCTTCCTTAGTGTTACACACTACAAGAACACGGGTGGCCAGGCCCACGCGGCTAGCCCCCACCGCGCCCTCAACATAGGCTCAACCGTACAGTGCAAATAAACCCAAGGGCACACCATGAACCCGGTCCACCTACCAAAATGATAGGAAAAATGAAAAGGTGGGAAAAAAGGACAGCGGATACATGCGCAAAATAGCAAAAGCTCTTCAAAGACTTGAGGGGACTCGGCTGGACTGAAGTCCGGGAGAGCGGCGTTTCATGCATTAGCCACACAAACTAGTCACCCATAACACCGGTCGGCCTACAGCAGGAGCGCCCCCGACCCTGGCGTCCCGACACGTACCGAAGTCGAACCAGTCCGTATGGCCAGCGTCGCGGCGCGCGCTAGCGACGGCCTCTTGCAGTGCGAACAGGCACACGCTGGTCATGCAGAGCGGCGGCTCGCCGGTGGCTGTGGGGAGCAAACACACCGGCCATGGTTACCAGCATCGGTCACAAACACTGCGGCAGCTCGCCGATGGCTGTGGGGAGCAAACACACCGGCCATGGTTACCAGCATCGGTCACAAACACTGCGGCAGCTCGCCGTTGGCTGTGGGGGCAGACACATCGGCCATGGTCACAACATCGGTCACAAACACTGGTCAAACACTGCGACAGCTCGCCGGTGGCTATGGGGAGCAGACGCACCGGCCGTGGCCACCACTACCTGTCACAAACACTGCGGCAGCTCGCCGTTGGCTGTGGGGGGGGGGCAGACACATCGGCCATGGTCACAAACACCGGTCACAAACACTGGCCAAACACTGCGATAGCTCGCCGGTGGCTGTGGGGAGCAGACGCACCGGCCATGGCCACCACTACCTGTCACAAACACTGCGGCAGCTCGCCGATGGCTGTGGGGAGCAAACACACCGGCCATGGTTACCAACATCGGTCACGAACACTGCGGCAGCTCACCGATGGCTGAGGGGAGCAGACGCACCGGCCATGGCCACCACTACCTGTCACAAACACTGCGGCAGCTCGCCGATGGCTGTGGGGAGCAAACGCACCGGCCATGGTTACAAACACTGCGGCAGCTCGCCGATGGCTGTGGGGAGCAAACACACCGGCCATGGCTGCCAACATCGGTCACGAACACTGCGGCAGCTCACCGATGGCTATAGGGAGCAGACGCACCGGCCATGGCGACCACTACCTGTCACAAACACTGCGGCAGCTCGCCGGCGGCTATGGGGAGCAGACGCACCGGCCATGGCCACCACTACCTGTCACAAACACTGCGGCAGCTCGCCGATGGCTGTGGGGAGCAAACACACCGGCCATGGCTACCAACATCGGTCACAAACACTGCGGCAGCTCGCCGATGGCTGTGGGGACAAAGGCAACATGCTGAACATAGTTACAAACATACCGATCACGTTCACACTGATCAAGAAAGGGCGACTTGTCGGTAACCAAACGGGACAAACACAGACAAACACAGACACCGATCACAGACCATGGTCAAGCGCAGAGGGTACCCGTTCGCAAACGCTGCCGATGAGCATGTCGGTCAGGGTCACATACTCACTAGCCGAGGTCATAAACACAGTGGACATACTCACCAAAACACACCGGGCATATAAGGTCATCGATCGCTCATAAACGCCGATCATCGTGGGACGACGCGCCGGTCCTTAACGGCCGATGGACAGACAAGCACAAATACTTTTCATGCGCTGTGCTAGACGTCATCTCTCAAGCATCATTATAATACAGTCGCCGTCGCCAGCGTTATTTCTGCCTTCGATTCTCCGTATCATGCACCACCAGCAATCAAGCATCGAGAAGACACACATGCGATACAAGCCAATATTTTGATATTTTTGCCGGACGGAAGTTGTTTAACAGGTGGACTAAAACAGTAGGTCGCGGTGAATAGAAACCGAAAAAATTTGTTGGGGTTGTTGGAATTTCTTCCCACACAAATTTTGTTTCAAAAACTGATAACAGCCCCTGTTAACAAATCACACTAACATTTGCATACCTTTGGAATTGAAGATGCCGATCTCGTTCTTGTTATTCTTCAGTAATTTCACTCGGAAGTCTCGTGGAATGTCCTTCAGAGTCGGCACGTAGTAGTTCTGACCAATTGGAGTGTGTCACAAAAAAGCTGACATTCCAAGCACTACAGCCTGTACAAGTCTCTACTACAAACATAGTGTATGTAGATCTACGAAAAAGCATGTGACATATGATAACCCGTATTATACGCCATCCAGTGTGTTGCGCACGCCCTACGTCCTGCGCACCTTTTTAAGTGCCAGAGCCATCTGTGGGCCCCAGAGCTCGATACACAGCATGCATGCAGCGCCCGGATATTGCGTCCACCACAACATTAGTGCCGTGTGTTGATTTCGCTTCAGCCACGATATACAGGCACACAGCTGGCGGTTTGTAAGGACATTGCATGAACTCGTAAGATGAATTAAGTAGAGAGTTACGACAGAACTGTCTTCCCTACGTTCCATTACACTTCAACCAGTCAATATATGGAACACACAAGGACGTTCGGCAACCCAAAGCAAACATCCAGGTTGACTGCAATAGCGTCTCATACTTGAACGCGTTGTCGCAACAATACACAAATAGCAGAGACTATCTGGGACGGGGGGAGGGGAGGAGGGCAGAGAGACAGATGGGGCCAACATCATTTCTCAACGTCGCCAGCCCCGGCCACCAGCGCCGCGGCGCGGACCACCCACCCATGTCCTGTTGGTCAGTCGGCGGCCGGTCTCGACGTCGAAGCGGTGCCGCTCAGTCAGGAACAGGCCCATGCCCATGACGAAAGCGCCCTCGGCCTGGCCGATGTCGATCAGGGGCGACAGCGCCTGGCCGGCGTCCTCGTACAGGTCCAGGCGGCGCACGCAGCTCTCGCCCGTCAGCACGTCCAGCTCCAGCTCGGCGGCCGTCAGGCCGAACACGCTGTAGGTCTGCGACTTGCGGCGGGACCTGGCGGCGCGGGGAAGGTCAGGTCAGGTCAGGCCGGGTCAGGTCAGGTCAGGTCGGGTCAGGTCGGGTCGGGTCAGGTCGGGTCGGGTCGGATCAGGTCGGGTCAGACTCAAGACGGGTGGCCAGGGGCGCTGTCAGAATTTTGGATGTTGGAGGTCAATTAACATTTATAAGAAAACTGAAGGAGCCGTCTACGTGCTTAAATCTAAAAAATGCGGCATTAGGGGGTGGGGCACCCATCCCTCTCCGGGTGCGCTTGTGCGTATGTCTCGTGAGTTGCGGAAGCAGTTCATGAGGCGGGCCAGATCAGGTCGGACTTAACATGTGCGTCAGGTCACACTGAACCTGCTGACAAGGGTCAGGTCAGGTCAAAAAGAGCGCGCTACAAGTCTTCATCTGATGTGAAAGGGGTAAGATCGGGTCAGGCCGAATACCACGCTCGCTTCCGGCCGTCCGAGAGGCCTGCAGACGCATCGGGTCAATCCAGGTCGGGTCAGGTCAGGTCAGGTCAAATTAAACCCAACGAGCTCTACGGCGTCCGTTTGCGGCTGTACCTAGCAGCACAGGTCAAATGAAATCGGGAACACAGATGACGGCAGCGCCCGGATTCATGTCAGGGTCAGTTTAGGCGGAGCCTTCCAGGCCCAGGCAAAGCAGATCAATACCACTGCGGACACTCCTGCCGCGCCAGCAGTCCCTCGACAACCGAAGTCTGCAGAGCGCACCAAATGGGCGATGAATGGAGTCTAAAAGGATGCGTGTGGCGTTGCATTTTCCTGTCACAAGATGTAACAGCCGAATTTCATTTAACAGACACAATATTCGTTGTTTGGGGGAGCAGGTGCGGGGGGAGTGGGAAGAGTTGGATTAGTTTTTACTCTGAGATCCCTCCTGCTAGAACTACTGAGGATAGGGCTAGTACTCTTGTATGTGCAGACAGCTGCAACCCTCAGCTTGTTATGCAGCAATGAAGTTTTGGAGAGCACGCATTCGTTTTTGGGGAAATGACTTAAAATGAACCCCTTTCAAATGAGACAACTTATCCCACCCCGGGTAAATTGCATCACATAGTGAGGAGATTACATTTTTGTATTTTTTCATAAAGTAAGCTGCGTCGCAAGCAGCCTGAATGCCCTACGATGTTTAGACCAAATGCGCTCGTCCGTGCTTCTTCGTAATTTGTCGTTATTGCGATATTACTAATGTTTGCCCTGTCTATCAGTGCTTGTTTTTCGACTACTGCCGCCTCGGTTTCGGCTGCTCGGTAGAAATTATGGATATGATTGACAGCGTGTCAGTTAATAGCATATCGTCGGTACATAATATCAACGATTCAACATGCCTACGCACACCTGATACAACACGTGCCACCCGACATCTTGGAAGAAAATGCGCACCAAACTGAAATCCTAGGTTAGCAGATGCCAAATGTTTTGCAGTATGTACGACAAGCGTACTTTCCCACTCCCCAGCAAAACATTCAGATTTGTGTGGTTATCCCGGACGCCCTTCATCTGCGCTGGGCCGGGGTCTGAGACAACCTGCGCCCAGCCCGGAAGGGGAGGTTGACTTTTCCCTGGGATCTCCAACTTCCAGACACCGCATAAGAAAAACCAAGACGCCGCTGTAAAGGTCTCGCCAAATGATGAAGAATGCACACAGATTTGTTTACCTTAGATCAAATGTAGGGTCATGAGGGGTCACCGAAGGTGATAAAAATGGTCGTCCTGATAGATGCAGTTAAAACCTATGTTAACACATCAAGACGGATATCAAGCGCACGAAAATGAGCCTTTCGAATGTAGGGAGTCCATTCCGACCATTTCTTTCCTCACAAGGGTCAGATCAGATCAGGTCATCGTTCAAGATTGGTCCGGCAGAAGCCTACAAAAACGAGTCTTTTCACAATGTGCTTCGAGTATATATTATTAGGTGTCGCTGCGGGCGAAAGTTTTTTAGATATACAAAGCGCACTTTAGGATGACCTTCAAGTCAGCTGAGGTCAACTAAGGTCAAATTTCTATACCATCCAAACGAAAAAATCGAAGTGCTAACCAGGCCTATATGAACAGTACAGTGCTTTTCTGTGATCAGAAATAGTGTACTGTACATCTACAGATACCCAAGATCGCATAGCTGTTGTGTAATCTTCGCAACATAATCAGAACAGGCCCATGAGCTCAGTATGTGTTTTGCAGAAGGCACCCACATAGAGATAGGTCATGACCTGGGTCAAGTTATGTGCCCTACGGTCATATGATTGATGTGCATGTGAGTTACTGTACATATGCTCTTTTTATGTTTCTCTTTGTTTTACTGTTACATGCACTATTCCTTACGTCTAAACACCAAACTTACATAAAAATACGCACAAATTTGCATTATTTACGGAAAATAGCAGAAATTGACCCGACTTCAGGTCACTGACCTCGCCTATTTCGAAAAACCTGCAATTAACAGACTGTGGGTACTATTATGTTCTATCTGTGAAGCAAGCTTGAACAATAATAAAATGACCCATTACAAAGTAATGTGTGATCAGTTTTTCAGAAGCTGACCTCATGGACTTGATCTAGGTCACTGTTCTTGATAGATCAAAATTTGAAATTTGCAAAAAGGATGCCAAATTAATTTACACCGATCGTTTAAGATCTCAGATTTACCCAACAGCACATTTTTCGCGGCTCAGACCAAGACGCGTGCACGTATACGGCCGGAAATATACTGAAAGGAAAGGTAATGGCCGCTGCGCATCAGCTCAGTGACCCAACACTGTCATTCGTTTCAGGCATTTGGAATAAATCGCCCTGATACTACTCGCACATGATACAACCCACACCGCTCTCCTCTACTGACCTCCATTACACAGGCCCTATACCTTTTGGTAGAAAGGCTGACCAAGGCCGGCATGCTCACATGGAGTGGGCGGCGAGATTGACCTGGACGGAGCACACTCACATCGAGTGGGCAGCGAGATTGACCTGGACGGAGCACACTCACATCGAGTGGGCAGCGAGATTGACCTGGACGGAGCACACTCACATCGAGTGGGCAGCGAGACTGACCTGGACGGAGCGCACTCACATCGAGTGAGCAGCGACATTGACCTAGACGGAACACACATCGAGTGGGCAGCGAGATTGACCTAGACGGAGCACACTCACATCGAGTGGGCAGCGAGATTGACCTAGACGGAACACACATCGAGTGGGCAGCGAGACTGACCTGGACGGAGTACACTCACATCGAATGGGCGGTGAGGTTGACCTGGGCGCTGGAGGCGTCGCTGACCACCCTCACCCAGGCCTTGTCCTCGCCCTGGAACGGCTTCAGGCGGGCTCGCAGCTCCTGACACGCCTCGTGCACGGCCTGTGGGTCACGGCGGGGCCGGCTACAGACCAGCAGGCAAATCCAGCCAAGGTATGGACAGCTGAGGTATGAGGAACGGTTGTGAGGCCTCGTGCGAGCGCGGAGCACTGTCAGACGCTCGCCATGCAATGGAGCATGGCGACCGGTCCTGTCATGACAGCAGCCCCCTGCCGTGAGAGGCGACCCCCTGCCGTGAGAGGCGACCCCCTGCCGTGAGAGGCGAGGTCATTATCAAGGTGATGTAGTAACGATCCCTCACGTTTCCTAGTGGAGCTGGCGCATGGATTGGTGATGTTGATACACATCACCCGGATATATTTGAATCTACGATTGCTGCATGGAAATCGTGCGGCTGCCATTCCCGGACAGTACAGGGTCCAACAGCAATTTCAAATAACTATCGCCTTAATATCTAGGACACGTCAGCAAGCCCGACAATCCTACGCACATGCGAAGCAACAAATACGGAACTAAGCTCCGGAGGCCGAGGCGCAGAGACTGACCATGCAGGTCATTTCACTGCCGATGCTGCCGCCGGTGGGAGACGGGTTGGGGCTGACCAAGTTGTTGCTCGGCTTCACGGCCACCATGTCCAAGGGCACGCCCAACTCGTAGGCGCACACCTGGGCCACCTGCAGAGGGAGCGGTGAGAAAACGGCAAGAGGGTGACAGGGATCACAGAGCTGCACAGTTACAGAGACAGCATGTCGAATGACACAGGATGCGATGAAAAAATGTCGGACACGAATGATCGACAGAACATCGGGGGGACGTGTATCGCCACAGGGATGTACACAGGCTGGTATGTCGAAAAAGAATATGATCAAACTGAAAAAAGAAAGAAAAATGTCGCTGTGGACGAACACTGAGATAGGAAGTGATGAAATTTTGAAATAAAGACGGGACGAAAATCGAGAGAAAGAAAGATCGGCGTAGTAAGCAAACGAAACTGGAACCACAATGAAATTAACTCGCAAATGATCGATTGGATAAATATCGACAGGAATGAGGCCCGTAAGGGACAATGGTGGAACGAAAACCTATGGATGAGATAATGTCCAACACAAACGAATGTAAAAATGAAACACAAAACGGATCGTGTTGGGCAACTCAGCTGCACCAATCCCAATCAGCAACAGGCTTTGATAACGAAATGAAAACGAACAGTTGGAGAACCTGTTATTAGAATTAATATCACAACGCTTAAGTTATATCATGGTCGCTTACAGCATGCCCACCATGTCTCTTACAACATGGTTAAAATGTGTGCTAAGATAAAGCCAGTTATGTTCGCGGTATTCAGAGCTGGGCCACAGCATTCGACGTAAGAACCCACATAACCTGACCTGCCGAGCCTTAGTCCAGCCGATCTTTATCCCGATTCTTAGAAAATGTAGCACTGTGAGTTGTGAGGCTTGTGCGTGGTCACACGCAGAATATCCACGAGATACGATCACAACAGCCAGATGTACAGCATCCATCCCTTCAGTTGACCTGCTGCCTTCGCACAGTGCGTACACACCAACCACCTACATGCCAGCTGACGTAGGCGGAAATGTTCTAGACCTACGCGTGACGCAAAGCTCTTTTACAGATACCCAACAGGGTCTACAAACACAACGTGCCAGAATCAGTGCATCTTGGAGTTGAATTCCTGGCCCATCTCCACACCATTCACCCACCTTGGTGTTGAGTCCCTGGCCCATCTCTATGCCGCCCACTGACACAACCACGGTGCCATCCGCGTCGTAGATAGACACGAGCGCGGGGTACTTGGCCCAGAGGTGGACTGGGTACCTCATCGGAAGGAGCGACAGCGCTCGCTTGCGCCACCGGTTCTCCTGCGTGAAAAGGACGCGTCAGCCGACGTAGGGCGGGTTTCATGCCAATGTCACAGGTGAAAACATCGTTTTCCACTGGTAGGTTGACCGCCGATGATATCGGTAGACGAATGTAAGGAACGTTTTCAAAAAAACGAAATTTAAGCCGAAATAACAGATCAGGGTGTAATTCCTAACCAGCTGTGAGAGCGGGGGCAACATCCCACCAACTCTCAGGAGAAAGTGGGCCACATCCGGCGACAACTCCGCATTTGGCAGACATGGAGGTACGTTCAGCCGTTTTCCGTTACTAATCCCTCATTGATCCTGCGAAACTACAGCCCGTAACAAATTACGTAACACCTGGAGCTGGCCCAAATAGGGCCACACCCAACCATATCCAACACGCATGTTTCCAGTGACACGCTCAGCTCAAGTCACGAACCCGATTGAACTTGCTGACGGCTGCTTTGCGAGCCTCGATGTCCGCCTCCGAGAACATCTCGTCGACCATCAGCTTGAACACGGTGTGGTCCCACTCCGAGCTGGCGCTCATCCTGCCAGCGGGCGGCCCCATCGCCCCGTCATCGGACTGATAATGACAGTGAACATCACTCAACGTAATGACGTCGACACCAACGTGATGACGTCAGGCACACTGCTACACGCAAACGTCATCGCACGGCACTTGAGCGCCCTGCTGTCTCCCGCCTTCCATTAGACGTGTCCTGATGTGCTCTCCAGAATACATGGACGGGTCACGTCCGATGTCTGTACATCCTCCAGTTCACATCTTGAACACCGTCTCCCTTGAGTGCCGTCACATCCTGAGCTCCATCCCTGGGTTAAGAGGTCCTCATGGTAGCGCGTGTCACGCTTTTGCGGGAAGGCGTGCACTCTTTGTATTCCCGTCTACATGAACGCCCTACTCACGGAAACTTTGTCTCCGGAGTGAAAAAGTTGACCTTCCGCAACTCCCAGGGGTCCATCTTGAGCTCGTGGGCGATCCGGTTCATCACGTGTTCGATGCCCGCTATGCCTTGGGTGGTACCTGCCCGGCAATGAACACGCGTAAACCGGCAGAACCGCACTGAAAACCGCTTTAACATAAGGCCTGACTGGCCTTGTTGAAGGCGTTAACGATTGCTAAAAATATGACGCCGATCTCCGATATCTTTCTGACACCTGCTGACGGCTGCCAACGCCACCAGCTAGCAACACCCAACTCTTTCGTCATTTTCCTCTATTTCCCGCTATTTTGTCATTTCCACGAGTGTTTCCTTTTAATACAAGACAGCCGCATCACACCCTGGACACCAGCATGTTACAGACACGCATGGACGGCATGTTGGCACCAGTCTGGCCCCCTCCTCAGCTCGGACCTGGAGCACGGCACCAGGTGTTGGGCGCCAGGTTGGTGTTGACGTGACCCGGCGCCACGTCCCAGTTGGTGGGGTGGTAGACGTTCTGCGACAGCGCCACCGCCGAGAAGCCGGTGGTGGCCGATGAGGCAAAGCCCGAGTCGCAAATGTAGCGCATCGTAAGGCCCTGTATCTTGCCGGACTCTTCGACGCCGGCCTGGGGGGCACGGGGGGAGAGAGGGGGGGGGGGGGGGCAGTTCAATACGGGGTCCCTGGGAGGCAGTGAACAACGTGGAAAGCTTGAAAAGAACTGGTAAACACGGGTTACAGGGGAACAGGCCAACGCAGGTCGGTTCCATACCACAGGACAACACGGGTCGGGTCACCATAGCGCAGGCGAACATGGGTCAATACTGCGAGGCAGATCAACAAGCGCCACCACAGGAAGGGTCCAAATCCACTGACCAAACATCGACGGACTCGGCGCAGCCAGCACTGATACCCCGTGTGCGCGCACCTTGTACTGAATCAAGTACGGCAAGCGCCCTCCAAACATTTCCATGTTGGTCTCGATGTCAAGGACGATGCGGACGGGCCTGTTGAGCTTCACTGCCGCTAGGGCGGCGGACGCAGCGACCGGCGTCGAGTAGGACAGCTTGCCCCCGTATGCTCCGCCGAGCCGCCGCACCTCCGTGTTTACTCTGCGAAAGCGTCAATGATATAAGTGAAATGGTGGAGCTATGAAACAGCACGTTTGGTGCGCTGTTGGATTTGCCTGCATGTGCATGGGAAGATAAGACCAGAAAGGAACTACAGAATCCATCGCAGACAACACCCAAACTCATCTCTCCGACTACGGCTAGCAGGCTAGATGCAAAACGCGTACCATGTTAGCTCTTCAATATTCGTGTTCATAACGTTTCAACTCAGGCGCACAATCCAGCGGCACGGATGTGACCCGCGGCCGTCTAGATCTCGAATCAAGTCTGCTTTCGTATGATTTGTCTCGAGCAACACAGCTAGAAAGCACCATCGTCCAATGCGTCACAGATATAGGGATTTAACAACAACAACACCAAGATAACAGCCAGCTGACGAATTCAGCGGCTGGGCGCTCCTCCGTTTGCGGTCCAGCCTGCAGTGGTGTTTCTCAACCAACCGCGCCGCTGCAGCCAAAACCCAACACACGGGACAGCATCAAACATGCGACATGACGCTAGCACGTCGCCCATACTACACCGATGGCCGTGGCCGTGTTTCAGGGAGCGTTGCCCGCACAGTGGCGGCACCCGCGGGTGACGAAGCACCACCCCACCGACAACGCGGCCCGGCCGCGACCGCCGCGGCCGGGCCGGCCCCAGTCAGCTGACAGTGACCGCTCGTGGCTCGGCCGCGCTGGCGCCGCGTACTTGTTGGCCGGCACCTTGACGGTGCGCGCCACGGTCTGGTGGACGTCGCGCTGGTCCTGCGTGGAGCAGTACACCGTCAGCTGGTCGTCCTCGCAGGGCACCACGCGCACCGTCTGCGTCTCCATGTAGAAGTGGTACTGGCCGCCGATCTGGAACTCGCCCGACACCTGCCGCGGCGCCGCTGCGATCGCCTCTGAGGGGGAGAGAGGGGGGGGGGGGGGAGTGCGTCAGCCAACGCTGGCAGGGCGGGCGACCACAGCCCCTCCGCAGCCGCTGCCGGCGACGGGACGGACACGGTCCTCACACAGCAAACGGAGTTCGTGCTCGGCCGTCATCACTTTCAGCCAACATTTGTATGCGTTATCTTATCACGTATTCGTTGATTTTGAACACCTGAAGCTGACCTGCTTCTGCTGATCAAAGCTCGACGCCTATACGTTCATTGATTACCCCGCATACACAGCCGCGGCCTACCACAGCTGCTCTCTTGTTCGCTGAAACGGCGCATTGGATATCTTGGTGCATGTGGAGGTGATTCCAATTCATTCAACACATCAAAAGGCAGTACCAACATGAAATGTCCTGTGGTTGGCCCCTTCATGAGATACACGTATGGGCGCAAAATGACCGCTGTATTCGACACGCCCCTAAGCCGAAATAACATACGTAAGTGCCACGCCCAACTACCAGGCCAAATGCAGTGAGTCGCACCGACCTTCGGCGTCACCGCCCGTCTTCAGCTCGAGCTGCATCATGGTGTCGGGTTTGACGGCGTCCGGGTCTTGCTTCAGAGCGTCCTTGATGGTGAGCACGGGCCGCTCTACGTCGGAGTACTCCACCTTGACCAGTGCCGCCGCCTTGCGGGCAATCTCGAAAGTGTCGGCCACCACGAGGCCGATGGCCTGGCCGCAGTACTGAATCTTGTCCGTGACAAACAGCTGGAGCGCGGACAGCCAAGGCGGGTGTGAGTCGGCCGCTCGATGAAAAATGTCGACGAATAAAACAAAAGATTTCGCATCTTTATTTAACCGTGATACGTACGAACACTGAGCAAGCGAAAAATAAATCCTGTCGTAAGGCCCCTGCAATGCAAGCGTGCAATTCTCCCAGCATTATGCGTGTCACCTCGGAGATGATACCCACCTCTTCCAGGTTCTTTTCCCCTTTGTATTGGTTCGGTCCATCGACATCCTTTGCGGTGTAGAAGCCTCTCACTCCATCCAACGCCTGGCGGTGAAGACGGAGATGTGAGTCGAGACATACTGCAAAGACATAGCCTACCCTCCCTGTTGGGCATGGTGTTCATTATTCACTGTCGCATGCAATACCCCGCTCTGCCCCAGTACCTAAGGAGTCTTGCTCGGCTCCCTGCTCGCTGACACTTCGATGAGCCACGTGCGTCTGCACTGTTCACATCCCAACGAGCGATGCAGCTGTTTCGCGAAACGGCTGACTACGCAACGCGCTGGCGAGTCACGTGACCAACTACGTCACCACAACTTGTCAGATTTCAACCCTCTTTATCAGGCCACACCTAACTTGCTAACTGTTCAGTCATCTGACCACGTTCCCATCGACGCGCTCACCAGGGCAGCGCTGCCGTCCACGGTCTTCAGCCGAGCCTTGGCCACCTTGGAGAGGACGAAGGCGCCGTGGACCTCCCCCGCAAGCGGCTGCTGGTCCCCCACGTACTCCGCCTCGCCTGAGGCAGGGCACACGAGAGTCACGGCGCTGAGTACGCAGGCGGTACTCAGGCGGTACTCAGCCGGTAGTCAGGCGGTACTCCGGCAGTATCTAGCCAGTACTCGGGCGGCACTCAGACGACACCCAGGTGGTATCCCGTCAGTACTCAGGCGGTACTCAGCGATGTCCGGTCAGTTCTCAAGCGATACTCGGAAGACATTCTGGCGGTATCCAGTTGGTACTCAGGTCGTACTCAGCCGGTACTCCGGCGGTATCCAACTAGCACTAAGGCGGTACTCAGGCGGCACCCGGTACAGGGCTGAGATGGGGCAAAGTTGGCATGTATATGGTTCGTGACAGGGGTTTCGGGAAAACCAAATAAGCTAAAAGTCATGCAAGAGTTCCAGTCTACGACAATTCACACGTAAAACAGACGGAAAGAAGACGTCTGAATGCACTTGCCAGACCACGCTTGAATACCAGTTTAAAAGCGCCACGACCGCCTGCCCAGCGAACTTTGTACCGGCGGTCTGAGCCTGTGCCTCCAGCTTCAGCACTGGCTTGCTGACGGGCCACAGGTCCTTGTCGGTGTCGTACTTCTCAGACCCGATCACCAGCGGGCGCATCAGCTCCTGGCCGCCAGAGCGCAGGTGTGCAGGCACCTTGTCACCGAGCACGTGGAGGATCACCTGGCGACATAGCCCCCGGTCAAGCATCTCCGTCACGCGTCTTTTTTTGGCTCAGGTACGCGGGCGCCAACCACAGCGTGGCGATGCGACTCGGTCAGGGGACATACAGTGCGGCTGGCAGTAGCATCACCGACTCCATGACTCAGGCCCAGCTCGGGCCCGGCGACTCTGCCTAAAACAGGGCCGAGTCAGAGACAAGTGGGAGCAGACCTCGCGCAGCGGGTCGTACCGGTGCCCCAGGCCAACACCGTCCCGCATCGGACCGACCTTGTACAGCAGGCTGGTGGTGAGGCTAGCCCGGTACTTCCACGTCGGCCAGCTCCGGGTCCTCGTCCGGCTTGACCTCAGCCTGAAGCGCCGCCAGCGCCCCCTTCACGGTGGTCGGCTCCGACAGGCTCTTGCCGGTCAGGTACGCCTCTGTTGCCGCCGCGTGCACCTGATGCAGTTGCCCACAGAGTCTTACGAGGCTCACGCGCACGGCCTCAGCAAGTGACGACGAGGTGCTTAAAGGATTGTGCTGCCTTTAGGTGAAGCTTTAAGCAGGGTAAACCGCCAAGTAGCCGTGCCGTTTGCGCCCCCAAAACACCAACGCAAGTGCCACGACAGCCAGAGCACAGTACGTGATCCGTTTAACAGAATTCCCTTTGAAATGGTACTATGTGTCACTCAAACGCCGTTCGCAGCGCCTCTGAGGGAGAGATCAAATGATAATTCGAAACAACGCTGAAAATGAAGCGCTGCTCAGCCAAGCAAGCCCGCAGCCCGTACACTTTTCACTTCATCTACAATGTCCACTTGTTTGTTGTTTTTGCCTGAGACCCAGGGGTAAAAAAGCATTAGAGGCCGAGGGAGCCGTGTTCGGACCACCACTTTCACGGGAGCTCATGGTGCCCATGGAGCGCCTGACGCCCCATCAACAGACCCACGAATCACAGACAGACTGGTCACTGGGTAGCATCTGAAATGGTCCTGGAACGCCGACACAAGCACACCGATTATTAATGCTATAGAGGCTACTATATAGATTGCATTTTACCATTTGGTTAAGCTGTGAACGGGTGATATTACAACCAAACGTTTACAGGCCAAAACTTCACATAAAATTTTACGTGCATTTCCCACGGGTGTTTGACAACCTATAATTTCTAGCTGCAGCAAAATTTATACTCCTGCTACATGCGCTAACTTGACGCTCTTGACGGCGGTGTCAAAAGGTGTCAGATCGCGTTTCATTGAGGTGGAATTAAACACAAGTCCCACGCACAGCCACGCCTACCAAAGCATCCAAACCAAGCATAAAGACAGATGTTTTGAAGCGCCTGCGATGTAATTTTTCTAATCATATTAATCATTATCATCGCAAACATTGTATTTCTTTCTCTGATTGTTATTGCTCAGAAACGCACCACCGGCCTGTCCAACTAGCAACGCAAGCTGTCGGGATGTTTACTCACGCAAGACAAAAGCACAACACGTGCGCGTCATCACTTGGGCGGTGAACAGCGCTGATCACATACTGCGAACATGATGCAGTGGTGTATGGATATACTCACGAAAGTCTTGTTGATGCCACCAAACAGCACAGTGGGTTTCTCGGTGATGACCATGCTTGACTTGTCCAAGGGTAGCAGGAAGGCAGCGTTGACGTATGCATGGGCGCTCACAGCGCGCGGCGTGATCTGGCAACACATCACACGCATGATACCTGGTATCGCATGCGGTGCGATCCGACAAAACATCACACACCACCACACACGTGATACCGCATGTGGTGCGATCTGACAATACACCACACACACGTGATAATGCATGTGGTGCGATCTGACAATACACCACACAAGTGATACCGTATGTGGTGCGATCTGATAATACACCGCACACGTGATACTGCATGTGGCGCGATCTGACAATACTCCACACACGTGATATCGCATGTGGTGCGATCTGACAATACACCACACACACGTCATAATGCATGTGGTGCGATCCGACAACATACCGCACAAGTTATAATGCATGGGTGTGATCTGACAGTACACCATACACGTGACAGCGCGGACAAGAAGCGCAGCATGGACACGAGATGGTGAGCATTCGCAGCAGGTCCTCACACCACCGTCAGCTGCGTGATACCGCCCCAGGCCACCGCACACCTTGTACGACATGAAGGTGTACTTGTTGTCGTCGATGGCCGGCAGCGTCATGGACAGGATGACCTTGCGATCCATGCCGATCTCGTACAGCTTCTCCACGTTCATCTCCATGGAGGCTCCACTGGCGTCCGCTGTCCCGCACGAAACAGACCGGTCGGTGGGGACCTCATGTGTCCGGGGTAAAACGCAGACAGCCTCCACCAGACGCAGAGGCTCATGCGCGCAACATAATGTGCACTGGCGGAAATTGGGATAGTCTACCCGCGTGATCATTTGTGATTGTGTTGAAGATGACAGAGCACGTCTCTGGCTTCACGGTGGGCTTGCGTGACGGCGATCGCGTGGCCTCAGTTCTGATGTCTACAGACCACGCAATCGCCCTTTGTTCACTTCTGCGTGTAAATCCACGCTGACAGATTGTTTTCTTATTTTAAGGCTGCTTCGGGCTGCAAATTTCACTGCAGAGATGTCGGATTACAGGGAATGTGTAAACTGTCGTCAACACGAAAGTCACCTTGCCTCGATGACTAACCCCAAGGCAAATCCAACAGCGCCCCCCCCCCCCCCCCCTCCCAGGATATGGATGTTCCAGGCACGGATGCACAGGTGCGCATGCGGAACTGGTTGTTACGAAAGCTCAAGGGCCTCCTTTCCACGCATTGGTTGCAAACATATCGTGTGCTGGGGCATGTAAGCTGCCCAAATGCGCAAAAGGGATGAGAGGGCAGATTCCTACCTCCAAACCTTACAGATACAACCAATCTGAACTACCTGAACAATGGGGGTTTGTGGAGGTAGAGACAATATTTTCAGTGAAATGAGATTGTTCAGATTTAGTGGCCAAGCGGTTAACAGGCCACGCACTGAGCCCAGTTTCCCAGCGCTCACCGACCACCAGCTTGGCCCGCGCCGTCGTCAGCAGCAGGAACACGTCAGACGGAAATTCGCGGTGGTGGTACTTGATCATCAGGTTGCCGGCCCAGCTGCCCATGTTGCGGACCGGAGTGTTGGCCACCACCAGCAGGTGGGACGCCATCTGGCCGCAGTGGCGGAAGCCGGCGGTCTCGCTCAGAGACTGAAGTTCCTCGATCAGCCGCGAGAGGGTCACCGCGGAGCCGAAGCTCACGGACGAAGATGACTTGGTGATTTTGTGAAGCTCGGGAACCTTGAGCACGGAAACGTAGGCGTCGAAGGGCCCATCTCTCTTGTAAACACCTGAGGACGTAAATGGTAAGTCAATGGCACTTAGGACCGCTGGCACCACGGCCCCGACGATGAGTCGGAATTTGCTTTCAGTGGAGGGCCGACCAAAGTGCGACAGTTGGCCCTTCACCATAGACATCGTCCCAGTAACGGTGGCGTTCAAGTTCCGGGGTGACCCAAGTCATTGCCACAGACATCGGCGACACGGCCAGCGGAGATATTTCGGGCGTATTAGCGCAGACAGCACGGCTGAAAGTTGGTGTCATCGCCACACGGGGCGCCAGAGCTTCCTAAAACTGTTAATCCTAGGCGATGAAGGTCAAATGTTTGTCACAAGCCCACCATTCGGTTTCACTCCGTACCGAGCGGATTACGGCAATGCACAATGCAAGAGTCCATCAATGTTTGTGTGTGTTTTTTTAGCGACTTTGGGGTTGCCTAATCCCGTGATAGAGACCTCAGGCATGAAGTGGGAGCCATGAACACTTCAGGGGAATGCGCTGCTCCAATGATGACGATAGACTTGCCCGGGCAGTGACCAGGTCCCACCCACCCAGCAGCGGCCCTCAGTTGGACACGCCGCGTCACACCGGTGACACTGCCAGGTGTCACAGACAGAGGCAGACACGTCATTCAGTATGATTCCATCCAACCACAACAGTTACTGACGATGTGTTCACATGTGGCCGGCTGCGCCAAATACCGTATCGGGCAGCCTACAATCGTGTCTAAAATAACTGCTTGGCAATCTGACACCGTAGAGCATCACGGCACGGTACGGCACGGCACGGCACGGCACACGGCACGGCACGGCACACGGCACGGCACAGCACGGCACCGGCACCGGCACCGGCACGGCACGGCACGGCGCGGTACGGCAGTTGAGCTCAGTGGCCCACTACCGTCCTGCCCGGGTGGCTGACATTACGCCTCCCCTCCAGGTGCCCCTTCCTGTGACCTCGGCGGGGAGGGGAGGGGGGGGGGGGTGCACCTGAGCCTGTGTTGCCGGTGACCAGGCGCAAGGAGCGGCCGGCCGGCACCGCCGCCAGCGCCGCGTACAGCTTGGCCATGCTATCGGGTAGCGACCACTGCGCTTCGCCGGCCGCCATCGGCAGCGCCCGGGGACAGCCGGCGCAACGGGAGCCGCCGCCGCCGCCGCCGCCGCCGCACGCGCCTCCACTCGGCTTACAGGCGACCGCGTCCTGCCGAGGGAGAGGGGGTCAGCCAGGGACGGGGGGGGGGGGGAGAGCCAGACAGCTGCTCGGCGTCAGACTGACGCCCGTCGAACTCCGTGCCTGACCCATTACTGTTCCCGACAGGTTCCGAGCGGCACGACCGCGCCTGTCTGGCGGGTTGCAATGACCCCGGCAGGCGGTTACGTAAGCCTCCCGCGGAGCCAGCAAAGCAACAAACAACGGCCGGGATTGTTGAAGCATTCGCGTGTGAGGTTGCGTGCCCTGCGGGACAGAGAAACACCTTTCACAAGAACATTCGTGGAGTTATGATGATCCGAGAGGGATGAGGAGCAGAATGAGGCCTTTACCGTCACGCATGTCCAGACGCCCAGACTGGTCTGATCTTTTGAGTTTATACTGCTACAAAGGCTGTTGGCAGCCCCTAACAATGAATGGCCAGGTGTGATCTCATGTATAGGCCATACCATATTTGTCTTATTCCATATATTAGCCTGGATAAATGCTTTCATAATATGGTTCATGAGTTTAAGCGATATAAGATAAAACTTTGGGCTATATACCAATCGCCTGTGGACACAAAACAAGAAGGCAGCTCTGCCAGCTTTAGGCTTCTAGACCGTTGAGAAAGCTGTGACAGGTATATGTATACATACAGGCCTACAAACATATCACCGCAAGCTTCGCAATTCCGTCAACATATTTGTGTTGATTAGACGGTGTTTCCACCGTCAAGTAAAGGGAACGACCGTTCATAGCCAGCGGACACACGCTCGCGCATTGTAAAGCTCAGTTGGACAGAGGAAAAATACGCTTCTCCATCTGTGTTCGACCGCGGTACGGACCAGGTACTGTCCGTCTCGAGGGTTACAGTTGGAAATCACCCACTGCTGGGAACCAGCAGGCCAGAACACCAGACCACCTAAGGACGAGGGTGATAACGTCGCTAAAGCAGCTGCCGATGGCTAGTCAAGCTTTTGAGGTAGATCAAAAGCATGAAGAAGTTCACGGCAAAAACAAGCTTTGAAGTAAAGTTTAACACTTTTGGGGTGGGGCACAAATTACTTTGTGTACCGTTGACGTAGACTGAAATGCGGTAGCACACGTGTGACATTTCAGGGCATTGGCTAGCGTCATGGTGACGCTGATGATCTGATGAAGACGCTGGCGATCAGCGTCATGATGACACTGATCACCATGACACTGAGTGGCCGGCGTCATGATGACGCAGCGAGTCTATCAGAGGTGACTGGCCGCCTGGAATTCCAAGAGCGCTTCTTGGCGCGGGACATAGTTCAATCTTCGCTGGGAGCGCGGTCCAAGATCGGTCCGAGATACTCAGCTATCAAACAGAGCGTGAGATGGTGTTCGCCAGCTTTGTGGAGAAATAGGGGCTGGGGGAAACATCTTCCCTGACTTCCGAGCAGCATTGACTGTGTTTCGTCTACATTACCTTCTACACCATAGATTCTGAACCCAAGTCAAGTGATGGCAAGACCGCTCCGCACGAGCGATGACACTTTTTATTGTGATTTGGGGTCAGCGACAAAAAGGCGGGCGTCAATCGTGTACTGGACCACTACGGAACCCTCAGCGAGCAAACTGAGGTCGTTCGCAAGCACGCGGAGGAGGAGCGGGCGCAGCGCGGATTCCTTCAACATCCAGATGCTGTCCGAAAGTCTGAAGCTTTCCATTAGTTCAATTTCTAAGTGATGGTGACGCTTTTTGACGCTTGTCACGTAGAAGATGGTCCGAAAACCGAGATGAATCGATTCCGCACGAGAATAACTCAGCACGTAGTGCGGAATAGCTTATCACATCGAAGCAACCGCAAAAGTCAAGGAGGCGGCAATAACCAGCGACATTTCAGAGGCATTGACATTTCCCCACGGCCAGTCGTGGAAACATGTGGCCGAACACGGATATCGAATAACTTTACGTCACGCGATGAGGACAGAGACCATGCTGGAAGGTCAAAGCCGCTGGCTGTGACTATGACAGTTACCCGTCGAGTCGCTGATGGACGCACGCTCCCATTGCCGGGCCGATGGACACTGAACGATACTTGGATGGCTTGGTGTGGTCGCCGGACTTGGAAAACGGCACGACCATGGAATGTTTCCCAGCTGCAGTGACTTCAGACACGAGGATGCTCGAGCTGACCAGGTGAGAAACATCCCGCCCCGGTGGTGGCGAAACTGAGCCAAATCGAGGCACAAATACCCCACAATTCACAATGCCCAGTCAGCGCAACCAAATTTACATCAGTGGGAAAATCAGACAACATATTATTGCCAGAACATATTGTTTTCACCCGTTTCTACCACTTCAGGATTTTGGTTACGTTTGGAGGGGCAGAGACAGCACGGAAGCGGGGCCAAAATGGGCAAAAAGATTTGCCCATGTTATGATCAGGCTCTCACCCAGACATTTTTTTGAAGGTGGTGAGGCTGATAGTTGATAATTCTATAGGTGGTCGTCATCTTTAGGTGCATAGGTGGTCACACCCTAAAGCCCCACGAGTGAGATACCCGGGATGTCGCTGAAATCGAGCGGAGGGAAGCTCTCACCCGAGAAGTTCCACTTTGTTGTTAGAGCGGTTCTGTCCTTGCGGGCACGGGACGTGTTCAGTCTCGGGTCATATTGTGATGCCTCGATGCCCACTTTTATATCAAAGAAGCCCTACGGGCGTCTTAAACTGACAAAAAGTACTAGGGCTGACGGCTCCAGGGGAACCTACCACACTGAAGAGGTCCATAACCCCATAGCCTCCATTGGCAATGTCAGTGGGTTTGACTCTTGTTATGCTCTAACTTTTAACACCCCGTCACAGTTGGCTTCTTTCAAGGTGGTGCGTTTGGTGTGTGGTGTTTTGGTGTTCGGCGTTTTGGTGTGTTTGGTTCGGCGGTGGTTTCAACACAATTCAACTTCATATCAGATCGTCTTGATGTAGTGTCCTTCCGCCCACTGGCTCTATCGGAACTATTGCGCTATACGGGGAGGTGGGGGGGGGGGGGGGGTCTTGGCACCCAAGCCCCCAACCCCGGCGGAGGGAGGGCGCTTGCAGCATCTACGGAGGCGTAAGGAAAGAAACCAACAGAAATGTTTCTAATTCGTCCATCACACTCTCCCCAGTTCAGCACAAACTCCCGCACTCCTGCTTTTATCACACGTATTTCTAACTTTCCCGTAAACAAATTGGTACAAACCTCGATGTCTTTAACCATTGCCTTCATTTTGTCGTCTGCATCCTCGCCAAAGGTCTTGAAAGCTTCCAGAATGGGCATGTATCCCGTGCAGCGACACAAATTGCCGTCCAAAACCTGCTCCACATCAGCCTTCGTCACCTTGTCCTTCGAGTTCAACAGGCTGCAACACCAACGGTCGGTTACTCACGGCTTCCTTCGCCATACATTAACTCGGGCGGCCCTCCACTGAGACACACGGCATTAGCCTTAGCGATTGCATCCAAATAGCACGCGTGTAATGTCCCGCAGCAGTTGACAACAACCTACACGCATGGGAACGCCGGGCGAGCGGAGATGGCAACGGGTCGAGCTGTCGCTGCTACTTCCAATGTCAGATGTAGCACAGGCTGCCAGGCGCCCGGCCCCTGCTGCCTGGCCTGCTTTACATTTTACCGCCTTTACTAAATGCGTCCACGCCCCTCAATTTGACCTACAGCAAACTGCACGCACATGTGCATGCTCGTACCGGGCCTCTTCATGCCTATCTCTACATAGACATGGCGCATGTGACCACACCACGGTGGCAGTACACGCACCTGTACATGAACACTACCACGCCGGGGTGGAAGTACACGCACCTGTACATGAACACTACCACGCCGGGGTGGAAGTACACGCATCTGTACACAGACATGACCGCACCACGGTGGCAGTACACGCACCTGTACATGGACATGACCACACCGAGGTTGCAGTACACGCACCTGTACATGGACATGACCCCACCAAGGCTGCTGTACACGTACCTGTAAATTGACATGACCACACCAAGGCTGCAGTACACGCACCTGTACATGGACATGACCACACCACGGTGGCAGTATACGCACCTGTACATGGACATGACCACACTGGGGTGGAAGTACACGCACCTGTACATGGACATGACCACACCACGGTGGCTGTATACGCACCTGTACATGGACATGACCATGCCGGGGCTGCAGTAGCCGCACTGCGTGCCGTTCAGAGTGCGCCAGGCGGATCTGTAGCGGGTGGTAGCCGACGCGTCGGTCGCCGATGCCCTCCACCGTCTTCACCTCCCAGTCCTGGCACACGTGCAGCGGCACCAGGCACGAGTTGACGGCGCGCGTCACCGGCTGGCCGGTGGCCGGGTCGGGCACGCGCACCGACACCACGCACGCGCCGCAGCCGCCCTCGCGGCACATGGTCTTGGTGCCGGGCTTGTGCTGGTGCAGGCGCAGGTAGTCGGCCAGGGACGTGGTGGCCGACACGTCGCTCGGCACGCCCTCCGGCGACAGACGGTGCAGCACTGTCGGAGAGGGGCATGTTTACACCGGGAATGCAGGGAAGGCGGCGCACATGGCGCTATGTCACACCATGGATACAGGGACGGTGCAGTAAGGTAGGAGAGTATAATGTTACACCGGGGATACACGAACTGAGCTTTTTCTGCTGCCTGCCGGGTCAGCTGGGCGCAGCGGCCTCGAGAGCTCTACGTTTGTTCAGGTGTAAAACCCACTTTTTGTGCCACAAGTCCAAGTGTCGACGAGTAAACTCGAGGCACGTTTTTGAGCCAGACCCGGGGAATATAAATTGTGATATTCAGCAATCTGGTCTTACCAAAAGGCTTGGATGACGATGATCTGAAGACTCTGATGATCGTTGAGGAAAAGTTCAACAACGCAATGCTTTGTAAATATTGATATAAAGAACGTGACGTTTTTCATACAACGACAATCTCTCTGTGTTGGGATGACCGATCTGCAAACCTTCGGAATCAGAATCGGCATCCGCGATACGAGTGGCAAAATGGCCTATGCGTAATACGCATCATCAATAAATTAGAAAAGCTGTAGGTAGAAGAATTCGAACGTCATTAGAAAAAAGATCGAAAGTTCAGTGGAACGAACCGTTCTGTCATCATGCCATGTCGTTGTTGTTCATCGCATTGTTTTATTTGGTTTTGTTATTCTCACCTTACCCAGGGGTGATCTTGTTGAGCGCGGCGCCTTAAAGGGAATGTTCCACATTTGACGATATCGAGGCAAGCTTAGAATATGATGAAATAAGCCCACTTATAACTATTGGTATATATTTAAGTGAAAAAGACTGCTCCAGACAACACAACTTCTCTGCTAAGTTAAGACGTCCCTCAAAACGTCATGGTTTGATAGCGTCATCGCACCTTGCACAACATTGATTGGGAGCCAATTGACGACCGTTATATCTGGAAATCGTGCTCCCGAATGGCAGATATGAACGACTCGGCAATCATATTTGTCTTGGCCTTGATCGTATAACCAACAGAATGGTAGGATTTAAATGACGTTATTGCGGTGCCATGCATGCCTGGGTGATTTTGAAATAGCCCCCCGAAAAAGTCTGTGCATCTTCACCAGCGTGTAACTCAGGAATTAGCGGGGTTTACATCCTAAGAGACCGGCAGGGCCGTGAACTGCACCGAATGATCATGATGGCTATTTCAGTTTAAAACCCCATACAAGTATGGATCACTCCATTTAACTGGCAGAACGCGCTCCAAGTTGTTTCATCCTTAATCCTCTCCCCGCATCCCCATGCCCTGTCTTACCCTAGTCGCTTTACATCCTAAACATCCCCCCTTCCTTGCTGTTACCTCACGTTGATCCCATCGATTATGTGCATAGCGACCGGCACAATAAAAGCCTCGGTGTGTTGTGGGTGTATTGTGTGGTTACGTGTTGTGGACTGTCAGATACAATTGCAAAGACAAATACGGCGCAGCACCGCAGGAGGGTGTAATTTTAAACCGGAGATACACGGACGGTGTAACACTGCCAGGTGCCTGGTGGGTGTTGGTGCACTCCTGGGGCGCAGCATTGCAACGGCGTCAGACAACGGGAGGTAGAGCGCTGCCAGCGGGAGTCAGTCTGTCAACGCGGGTGCCACCCAGTAACAGAGCGTGCACCAAGGACCGGTTCGTGTGAACTTTCGCTGCAAACAGGCGACACACAGCGCACCTCTGCCGGATACGTGCAGCGCCGGTCCGCAGTTCGGTGCAGCAGACGGTGCAACACAGTGTTGCAGCACAGTGCTGCAACGTCAACGTCAACGCTCTCCTTTAGAATTGCCCCGAGAAGTGTAAGGGCGTATCAAAAACGATACCAGTCATATGACTAGCGGCGGCATGCATTTACGTGAGACTGCTTTTAGGTCACACGGCGTGACTGCATGCTTTACGGCGTGACTGCTTTTAGGTCACAAGTGAATCTGCCGGCAAAAATAATCAGTAATGTGACACTTAACAGACATAACTTTTCTACGAACCCGATGGCTGCAACGTGTAAAATGCTTTCAAAAAGAACTTTATTGCCGCGAACCATATAACTATTGAGTCTCCACAAAACTGGCAAATCAGTGGCGTCGGTATCATGTTTGGGTTGCAGGGAACAAAACGTCTCGTCTTACGTTTCAAGGAAAAAAACAGCTATTAAATGGCCTACCCCATTATACAAAGTTACGCTTCATTTCAGAAAATAATTTTGAGATTGTGGGGATCAAGTCCCTGTTGCCCCCCCCCCCCATATGGAATTCACTAGGACGGCGCAGGGGAGTCAAAGAACATAGTCCTTACGCGAGGGTCAAGTTTTTCGTACACTTTTGAATTATTCAAAAAGTCAACAAAACAACACCCGTGTCCCTCACCTCACCACCCCCACCCGAGGCCTCGATCAGCTAAGTCCCAGACCAACAAAATATAATGTAAGTATTTCACATAGCATGGAAAGAACCGACTGACAATTGCATCTGCTTGCTAGCCCCTCACAGAATTCCTCGTCCCCGGAAACAACTTGACCCAAGGCTGACAGATCCCAGAGGAGTGAAACAGATTCCACCCGTGTGTCATGTTGGATGACAGTTGTTCGCAGTTCGCAGTTGGATGTCATCCGAGTGATGTCACGTTTGTCACGAGAAAAACAGCAAATTCAGCGTTGAAACGCCAGCTGGATTCGCCGCGTTTTTACGCGGTTTGCCTCATACCGCTTGCGGATGCCGCTGTCATGGAACTGAGCCGATTAGAATGGAATCCAGATGAACTAGCACAGGCATGAATCGCACCTGCTGATCATATCCTTGTCGGCGCGCATCTACGCCAAGCAAGATCCACGCGACAAATGTGGACGCGTAAAAATAACGTCCGAAAACATCAGATGCTATCTTACGGTATGCAATCAATATTACAGATCTGTCAGTAAGTCCGATATATCATGTGTGACCTGTCTGACATTTCAAAAGTAGATTCTGTCCCATTGTTTCTGTTTTTTCTCTTCATACTTTCTTATTTAAGAACAGCTGTCCCGAGAACGCATGCTTGGCCCACACAGAATGCAAACATCGACCGCGACATAGGTTTCCGCCAAAGCCCTTTCAAACTTGGTTCGGCGTGAGCTAACGGCAAACCAAGGTTTTCAATGGAAGGGGGGGGGGGGGAAGGGAGAGATTTCACGTTTTACTGGGAACGATGCTGTGGTCACTGATGGGATCATCCCCCCCCCCCCCACCCCCAGTTAGCACGTAAAAAGGGCCCCGTCCATGATTTTCCGAACAGAGCAGGATGAACGTTGAAAGCCGATTTTGCAGACTTGGGGTCCGCTGTACCACATAGTTACTGCGCCATTTCGCGCCTAAAGACCGGTGGCGGAAAGGTTGGGATATCACCCACCAGGCAACAAACAGCGCAACGCCCATGCCAACGCTAGATTTCGCGACGCGTCAGCTCACCACGTGTTGTGGCGCATTGCAGTGTTCTCGAAGGCATTCAGACAGCCGTATTATGGTGCTGCTGGACAAAGTGATGCAACTCGATGAGATGGATTGCAGTGATATGCAGCGAGGTGCTTTTAAGGGAGTGTCCGAGCTTTGAGGCATCTATCAAAAACATACTGGGATGAAACTCTGGACCAGTCACCTGAAGCAATAGCATTGGTTAGCGTCACTGCAGCACCATCAAGGTATAATGGGAAGAGAAGTTAAATCATTTTCGAGATCACTTATGCTGCCATTGTTTTGTCACAGCACTACACTTCTTTCCTGGTAGCCCAGAGTGCAGGCTTAGTCCGCGACAGCTGAAGTTGTCAAGCTTGCTGTGGTCGTGATAGCTATCGTCGTCGTTTGGACGGCGTAATCCGCTAAGGCCGTCGTCGGCTGTTACAGACAACAGATATCGTGTGGCCGGCACCTTGTGGACCTGCGGCGTTAAAAGTGGCATCTCTACTGACATGATGACGTAAGCGCAGATGAACATTTGTGATTGGCACAGCGGGCAGCGAAGGACATTTACCGAGAAGTTCGTTGGTTAAAAATTTGAACCAGCGCGACCACGGGTGTCGATTTGTATTCTTTTGGAAGGGCCCCGCCCCCCCCCCCCCCCAATGTTGAGCTGTGCCCCCCCCCCCCCGCTCCCCTCCGTGTTGGCTTGGGCCCCCAATAATCTTGGCTGGAATGCTACAAAAACGTGATAAAAGATGATCACAACGAGAAGATGATCTTCTTTGACCTTTCTGCATAGTGGCGTCTCGTGCTACTCTCTTAACAACAAGCCATGGTCGTTCTCACCACCAGATGAAATCGTAACAGCTGCGCGGATCAACGATACAATAAACTTTACATACCTGGGGCCATAAGCCACGCAATGGTTTGTAGGGTTAAAGTGGCAGGCTCTAGAACATGGGATGATCTAATTCCTTCATGGCTAGCCCCGCCCTCGTCCCCCACAACCAAATGCGTGTCGCTTCCCCTGATCGCTATAGCACAGCGCCATCGGCGCCTTGAGGTGGCCTCTAAAGGGGCACCCTCACGGGCCGATCAGATGAGACGCAGGCGTCCAGTGTCTGCCTCCTGAATCCACCCTGCATGACTTCTATTCTGCTTAAATTAAAAGCCTTTTATAAGCTATGCAAAGAACAAAAACACGCATTGTCTTAAATCAACACAAAGAGAGCTAAATCCGGTGATAAAAATGGGGGTAGGTTGTCGGGCTTTTGGTTTGGTCCAGCAATAATTTACACAAATTGACACGCCTGGATACGACACAATAGCCCATGGTGTAGGACCAGAACTACAGGGTTCGATTCCCCGCAGCGCCCACTTTTCCTGCCGGAGTGAGAGGCAAGCGACGTCATATAGCCTCAGCAGCTGAGTGCATCGTAAGGCCCAATGACACCAAAGCCAAAGTGCGCTTCGAGAAGAGCTGCCGTTCTACGTAACGTTAACGCCAAGAATAGAAATCAAGATTATAGTATGACGTTTCGCCGAATTCGCGTGATACTAGCCTGATGCTTGTATATCTTTTTCACTAAAAAGTTTCAAGCTTTTGCAACATTTACTGCACAGGCATTTTTATGACTTAGTGTACTGGAAACATAAGGGAACACACCTTGAAAGGAGCAACGAAAATGCCAAGTATCGACATTTGGTATCGAAGCGGCTACTTAGAACCGATATTCTGAGCTCTTCAGAAGGATTTCGAGAAAGCTAGTATAACCGACCAAACCAGACGCGTCTCATCTAACAATAAGTGAAACGTGCAAAACAGATGGCGTGCTTCCTTAAACGCCCTCGCTTGTGTGGCCCGAAGACCCGAATAGAGGTCGAGGCGTTGATGCGCAAAAAAAAGTTTTCCTGTGACAATCTTGAGTCGTCCCCCCCCCCCTTGCGCAAAGCTGGATACGTCCCCGTTTAGTGGGGCCCATTGCGTCCGCTCGCAGGCGAACGTCTATTTCGGCCGGTGGACGCCCGAAAGGCTAGCTCCACAGCTGGGCCCCCTGTGCTTGTTACCACACCAAGGTCACTCAGCCACTGTGGGCGGATGAGCCGCCCCCCCCCCCCCCCCCCCCCCGAGACCGTGCCTCGTCCTGCGCACCGCCCAGCCTTGGAACGGCGGACGGAGGTGACTTGCCGGAATTGGACAAGAGATGCCGCCACCCCATGAGTGATGAAAGCTTAAAGGAACGATTTGTTTGAGCTGGCACGCCGCGAGCTGTCGCGCCGCGCCGTCTTCTGCGCCTGAATGGTCGTGACGAACGGACGGTGACACGGCGATTCACGCTTCCGGCTGCGCTGGCATTTAACGGAACAATGGTATGTGTTGACCCCTGGCAAATACGGTCGTGCATCCCTTTGCACTCACTAGAACAGCGCTGCACAGTCGGTGCACTGACTGCGCCTAAGTTATTCTCATCAGCCGGAACTACTCTTGAACGCTCAACTAGGATGATCATCCATCGAACAGCCTGCTGTAACGAGGAGAAATGGTATATACATATATATATATATATATATATATATATATATATATATATATATATATATATATATATATATATATATATATATGTGTGTGTGTGTGTGTGTGTGTGTGTGTGTGTGTGTGTGTGCGAATATGTATGTATGCGAATCCTGAACGCTTCTCAATGTGTCAGACGCGCGCCTGCTCTGTCGCATGCGACACGGGCTCGGTGGCGATTCTCTTGTAAGAAACCTCCCCCATTTTTGGCTGGGAATGTGACCTTTCCTGAAACAAAGAGAATAACGCTTTCGGTGCAAGTGTCAAATAACCGCGCTGCGCGGGTTGATGTGCGAGCCTTGGGTGATATTCATGACTGTGGAAGCGATTGGCATTTCTCCACATCAGAAAGTGACTAATCGCCCTTTCTCAACAGCCTGCGATATGAGACTAATACAAGTTTTCTTAATTGATCAGTTACTCAATCGTCATCGAGTCGTGTTCGCGTATGACATGGCCGATCGACATGGCATGGCTGATCGACGAGTGCTAATAACCACTGACCAGAGCCCATTGCGCCCGTCCTGGGTGTGGCGGCGTGGACGCAGTCGGCACTCATGAGTGCCGGCTTCCTCCTGCAGGCTGTCCTCAGGAAGCAGCCTCGTGTTCGACTCGAGCTGAGTTGTCAATTGTCTCACCAGCCAATCGTTTTGGGGTGAGCCGCGAACTGAGTCGGTTCGTTAGGTAAAATGTGGCATTGGGGCATGAGCTAAGTCGCATTCCTCGTCAATTTCATGAGCTGAATCGCGAGCCGATCATTTCTAATAATGTCCATATATAATAATGTGATTTATATATATTTATATATATATATGTATATATATATATATATATATATATATATATATAATCACATATACAATCATAATCGTCACGTGTATATCATCATCATCACATACATAATAATGCCAGTGAGCCATATGGCTGAAATAAAAATGGCAATGATGAAGCACCGCGTACCTCAAATTAACAGGCCATTTTAGTGTGTCAAAATTAACAGCACATGAAAAAAGATGCAGCATTTTTTTTTCAAAATGAGCACAAAGTTTGCTAGGTTCAAACTGCAAACTTTCTACAAGGCTAATTGCACCCATTTTCCATATCAGGATGTACGATATTATATGGGTATACGACATTATATGAATATATATGTATGTATGTACACACACACACACACATATATATATATATATATATAACTTAATTAATGAGTCGTATGGCTCACGACTCATAACGCAGCAAGCTGGAACTGAATCGGATCTTTGATTTTGCAAGCCACTTCAGTCGTGAGCCAAGTGATTCAACGCAAGCAATGATTCTGAACTGAGCTGAATCACACAAAAATTGTAATGGCTGAGTCACGAGCTAAGCCGGATCACAAAACCAATGAGCCGGTCCTGAGCCCGCAAAAACAAACAAAAAAACTGCATCGAGCGTAAACCTGTTCAGAGAAGGGGGGGGGGGGGGGGGGAGCGGTCACTCACCTGTCTGGGGCTCATCGTTGACAGTGAATGTGACGGCAGGCTGCTGCGCACTGGCAGTCGGCATGGTGACCGCTCTTCTGCGTAGGCTTTTCTAATCTTCGCCACGGGTCGCAGACACTGAAATAACACACGCATTGTCAAATCACGACGTGACGATGCGATCTGGAAGCAAACTGACGCGGCTATGTAGGTCGCCCAATGACCACATCACCGCGCGCCGCAGCTGGCATGGAACGCACGCGCGCGGCTGCCGCCTCTCCCGCAGCTCCGCGCCACAGCCTGCTGAGCCCCCTCCTGCTGTACATCCAGTACCGGAGTCCTCAACGGACTGCACGTGTCCGGACGCTGGCGGCCTTGACCAGCCTGCCGGGGGCGTCATCACCGCGCTGACCGTTGCGCAGCGTGTCAACGATGCGGCGCACACAGCCAGCGGCCATCCGACCGGCGCGACCCCGCCCTAACACCGTGCCTGCCGGCCGGCCGCGCCGCACCCCGGGGTCCTGCGAGGCTCACGGTCGGCCGGGCTGTAGCTCGGCCCCGCTCTGGAAGCTATCAGCGGGTCTGGTGTTCGGTGTTGCTGCGAGCGGATGGGGTAGCCGTGTTCGCGGCACCACCAACAAGAGCAGAAACATCCATTGAGGGGGAAAGGCGGCGGCTGAAGACCGGTGATTTCGAAAACGATCTACGAACAGCACAACGGCAATGCAATGGCAAATGCAACCATTCTGTCGGGTCGTCAACTCTCAGACGTAAGCCTTAGCTCCTATGTTGCCGCGCCTCTGCACTGATGCAGCCCTGAGTGGCTGTACCCCCACAGTACGTGATGTGCTCCGTTCGAAACTTCCCTATACAAAACTATTACTAAAGCCACGTGATTGTATGAGATATGGCGCATTTTCCGACGCATTCTCATTCACTACCCGCAATGTCACTGCATGCATCGTGCACCACGCACGTCACCCACGTGGTCATACCAGACGGCTCACAAAATGTACTGGGGTGAGATCGCGCATTTGTTTTCATTCTGTCAATGATCTGGTGTGCAGCAAGGCTTACCGCCTGCAACCTCGCTGCAGATAGTGTCTCAAATACGGGTGCAGCCAAGTAGACAGAAGCACAGTCAGTATTTGCGACGGGACGAGTTACCATAATTTGTGACGGGGAGGGGCCACCATAATTGGCGACGGGAGGGGCTACCATAATTGGCGACGGGAGGGGCCACCATAATTGGCGACGGGAGGGGCCACCATAATTGGCGACGGGAGGGGCTACCATAATTGGCGACGGGAGGGGCCACCATAATTGGCGACGGGAGGGGCTACCATAATTGGCGACGGGAGGGGCTACCATAATTGGCGACGGGAGAGGCCACCATAATTGGCGACGGGAGGGGCTACCATAACCGGCGACGGGAGGGGCCACCATAATTGGCGACGGGAGGGGCTACCATAATTGGCGACGGGAAGGGCCACCATAATTGGCGACGGGAGGGGCTACCATAATTGGCGACGGGAGGGGCTACCATAATTGGCGACGGGAGGGGCTACCATAATTGGCGACGGGAGAGGGCTACCATAATTGGCGACGGGAGGGGCTACAATAATTGGCGACGGGAGGGGCTACCATAATTGGCGACGGGAGGGGCTACCATAATTGGCGACGGGAGGGGCAATTTTTTGCAGGCGAGTCCCAGCCCCATTGACGGTACCTATGCACTGCATGGGTACTGACTAACAGACCCCACGAACAGACTACTAGGTCCCAAAAACGTAAATAGGTACAGCACCTAGCGTATCAACGAGTTAAAGATCTAAAGCTCATCTCGCTTATCAAGATTTAGGTCAACAGCCAACCAACATCTATGTTGGTTTGCCCTAGTGCCTTCACTGATTCAGCCGCGTACCGTCCATATTCACTCGGCTATAAGCTAGTATCGTTACTTAATTACGGATGGTGGGCTTTACATGTCTCGACCCAAGATAGTGTCTATGAGATTGAAAACCAAATAGTTTCCTTAACACCAAATTCCGAAATAACATTCAGTAGTCTCACGGTGCCGCGTCACTGCAGGCAGATGTGCGGATATTCTGTGGCTACTCTAAAACACCACTCGGCTGGGATGGGGATGGGAGTGGGGTTGGGGGTGGGGCCGGGGTGTGGCTTTACTGGAGGTGGTGCGAGAGGCATCCGTACTCGATGGTTCTGACATCGTCGCCGAGACATCACCTGCCTCACCAAAGGATCACAAATCGACACTCATGCTATTTACTTTCCATCTATGCTAAGGCCAAAACTTTGCCGAAGTACCACGTTGTAGAGGAAACTCCTGTCAAAACGGCGAGACCAAATTTTCGACAATTCCTATCTTTTTCCACTGTGACAGCTGAACAGCACTAAGGGTCCTCATCCACAATCGTGTCCAAGGCAAGCAGTGAGCAAAAATAGGAACGAATGAAGCCTTTCTGAACGCCCAGAAGCCTTTCTCATAAATAGTTGCTACAAATAGTTTGTAAGTTGTAATTTAGAATTCACAAACTACAACTTACAACTGTTTCACAAAACCAGCGCGGGTTGTAGAATTGTAGTTGTAAACTCTGCACCGTGTGTAATTTGTCGCTGCCAATCACCGGCCTTGCCAAGGACGTATAAGAACTATGCCTGACCGGCTTTTTAGCACCCCATACGCCCAACGTTGACATGACGTCACTGGAGTTTTCACACGGCGAGAGCAGCGCGCAGCCCCGCACGATGCATATTACGATCTCAAAAATCGCGCTTCCGTTAAAAGCTTCGTCTACTTACCGTCTGTTTTAGCTTTAACTGTTTTAACTGTTTTGTTTTAACTTTTGTTTACGATTCAAAAGCATTTCGGTGCTTTTTTCGGTTTTGAATGGTGTCCCTACTAGGTACTCGCGAGAGGCACCATGCACTGGACCTCGGATCCCACACCACCCAGCTTGCGATGAACGGTTCCCCCCTCCCCCCCCCGCAAAAAAACTCCAGGCTAGATCCGCCCCTGGTGGCGCTGTCTGTGAAACACTGGAAACCACAGAATACTTATGGTGTGACGTTCTGGTGACACGGGCGCCGGGCCTCATGATCCATGCAGAAGCCCCCTGAGGAAACATTGGTCTCTTTTATGACGCCGGCCGTCCTCTCACGGGAGCAGTTAATGCGACTCGGAGCAGAGGCTTTCAGTGACGCACAATAATTTCTTGCAGGTACAGGAGATCTACTCAATGACACAGGGATCACTTTGAACAAAATCAGGCCCCTGGGCAAAACAGAGCAAGGTCGTTTGTTGCTTATTGGGCCCGCTGTTTGACACATTACCATTCCATTGTGTCGATCAATGCTGGCCTTATTATTGCCCTTTTTCCTCTCCCTTTATTGTCGGGGGCCGCGAACAATGCAAGAGGCCCGCTGATATTCCAGGTCCCGTCACCGTCCCTTTCTAGCAAAGGGGCCGTTGCTGACGCGGATTCCCATGCTGACACAGGATCCCTTGTCAGGCACTGCGGCCCCATGACAGGACACAGTGGCTCTTTTTCATCTGTGCTTAGCTAGCATCCGCGCCCACTTGCCATTAGTTCGTTCCAACAGCAGGAACGCAATCAATATTTTCTTAAGAGGGTGGCGGCAGACATCGGCGAGAACGCATCACGCCAATTTTAAATTTCCTTTTCAGAGCGCTGTGGTAAAGATGAAGACCTGTGAGCAGAATGGAGCGCCCCTTGACTGTGCTCCTCCATAACAATCAAACAGCAGCAACAGCAGGGTTTGGAGACCACGATCTTGTAGGCAGGGGTCGGTTTGTTCCCTTTATGAGTATGTGAGGGCCCTCCTTTGACACCCGTCTACCATATTTGGTTGCCCCCCCCCCCCCCCCACAAATCTTCTGACCCCAATGCTACAAAATGCCAGGAAAATATAGATATCACAGGGACCTTCTTCAGACGTCACCTGCAGTTGATGACCATACTACTAAAATAAAGGACTATTCTGTGCCACCAACTTGAAAAACTACCGTATATTAAAATCAAGTCGCATACGAGCAGGTGAGAAATGTATTTAGGGCGAGGTTAGGTTCACAGTTCCTCACAAGAGCCTAATGTCGCTGAATAATTTGTGGGGGGGGGGGGGAGGACGGGAAATGGCTCACCCTATCACAAAATATGCACTTCACCTGGGTCCCGGGCTTACCCCTAATCACTTGGAAAAGTTGACGCCCCTGCTTGCAGGATAATAGAAACACTAACCGAACCAGTACGACTTTGCATGATACTTTGAAGGGATATGAATTGCCTTGCCTATAATCACTTTGAACGCTGCATCTACCCTACGTTTCCGCTACGCCACGGTGATGGAGACAGCAGCGGCGGGGGCCAATGACACAAGGCACCACTGACGTCATTGCCCTGTGCTGAGTCACACGGGATTCCACCAATAAGAAACCCAATTATGCCCCCCCCCCCCCCCCCCGCCCTCCAGAGTTTCACTCGCCAGCTGACATTGGCAATGTCCGACGAGCGCAGAAAAAGCAAATTATGCTATGGATCATCATAAATACCGCGATTTTTAAACGAAAACAAGAGAAGTATCGGAAGTGTCAAGGAACAGAACATTAGGTTCCCCAATAACAGCAATCGAATACATTTGTCATTGTATTCACCGTGCGTGTTAGCTTTAAGCAGAAGTGAACAAACAAAATATTGACACTGTTATGGCAGTTAGCGAAAGCGACTCAGCGGACTAACATAATACTAGCGTTCTGTTACCATGAAAGACACCTATATTCTACTCACAGACATCGGATTCATGCATCGTTCACAACCGGCGATGGCTGTCCGTTTGGCGTCAAGGTGAATATCGTCGCACGCCGGCGGCGTAGGTGTACTTTCCTACCTAACGTTAGGAAAAATCATTGCACACCATTCGTCGTGTTCAAGGCGGCACATATCGTAACTCATCTCAAAACAGGTAGAATCATGCTCCTACCTTCGAATTTCAATAACTTCGATGGCGAGCTCCCGAGTGCCGCGCGCACCGCACCGCCTGGACTCCCCAGCGCCGTTTCTGCGTTGCCGTTGCGTAAATACAATATTTCTGCTTACTAA